GCATATTCCCATCATGCTCAGAGCACGCTCCCTAAACCTGAAGTAGGTAAAATGATGTAAATAAATTTTTTTAAAAAGCAGTTGATTATGTTTCTATGCGATAAATGCACAAAATGAATGCACAAAGATAATCTGTTTTTACATTTGAAATAAGGCTTGAAATTATCTTACTGAATGGATTCATGAACACCTGATCTAGATAATCTGTTTAGGACCCCAGATGAATTCAGCAGCTAAATCTCTTAGGTGGCACTGTAGTCTACCCATAGCTTCATGACTGGTTGGACTAAGCTTTAATAGGTCAGAAAATTTCCTTATACTTGTAATAAAACATAATGGATATGATCTATTGTTAACTATTATTTATATTAGATTTAAAGTCTTGCGTGTGTGTGTGTGTGTGTGTGTGTGTGGTTTTAAATAAGTACGTCACAACTTGAAGCTAATATTTGGTTTGTATCCACATTAGGGTTTCTAATATAGGGACTTCATGATCTCTGTTTCTATTATTTCCCTTTCCTGAGCTTGTTATTTTTCAGAGCCAGCCCTGATTGTCGTTTACCTTTTTCTGAAGAAGGAGAATTCCCTTTAAGGAACTCTCTCAGAATCCCAGGGACCCACACAGAGTTTTTGAGGAAGATAGAGACACCCATCCACCCAGTCCAATCACACAAATAGGTGAGAAATAGGACAAACCATTTGTCACTGTTAGTCAGCTCTCAGATATGAGAGTAGCCCTACCAAATTAAATTTACCTTACATAAACTCAAACATAAAAGACTCAAATATTGTCTGTGTGACTATAACCTGTGTCTATGTCAGTGCAAGTAGCCAAATAAGGGCTTCCTGTGTAAATGAAGGCAAAACGCAAAAATAAAACAAATAAGCAAAACCAAACACCAAACCAAAACAAAACCCTATGGTTTTCCAGGAAGCAAATAAAGACTTCTTGTGCAAATAAAGGCAAACAGCCAAAATAAAATAAACCCAACAACTGTCTTAAAACCTGAAGGACACAAAGGAATTCTTGGGTTTTTCTTTTTTTCTTTTTCTTTTTTTTTTTTTTTGAGCAGCCATTTCCTTCTGTCCCATATCTACTCTAATGAATAGATAAATTAGGGGTAATGGAAACCCAGAAATTTCTGACGTTGGCTCTGACAGTGTTTTGCAAGCATTGCAAAATGGTACAGGACAACAAGGGTTTTCACATGTACGCTGGCCTTTAGACTGCTCATCCTTGCTGCATATATGAGCATTTGGTAGTAGATAAGGCATTTCATAGAGAATTAAAGTAATTTCCTTTGAAGTTTTTCCTTTTGAATTCTTATTACTTAAAATTCAATAGTAATACTCTACTTTGAACCAAGCGCTATGCATGGACTATTTTATCTGTTCTTCCCTACAAATTTTTATTTTAGATATGTAAAAACTGTGGTTTAGAGAGCATATTAGTCAGCTTGGACCAATACTGTAATAACAAATACCACAGACCAGGTGGCTTAAACAGTAGAAATTTATTACAGTTCTAGAGGGTGGAAAGTCAAAGATCAAGGTGCCCATAGATTGGGTTCCTGGTGAGAGCTCTCTTTCCTCTCTTTCTGGCTTGCAGACGGCTACCCCCTCCCTATGTTTTCACATGGCAGAGAGACAAGAGAGCAAGCTAGCAGGCACTAGCTCTCTGATGTCTTTTCTTATAAAGACATCAATTCTATTGGATCATGATTCTACCCTAGGACTTCATTTAATTTTAATTACCTCCTTAATTATAGGTCCTGTTTCCAAATACAGTCACACGGGGGTTTGGAGCTTCAGCATATGAGTATATTGGGGCACAATTCAGTCCATAGCAGACAGAATAAATGACTTTTCCAAGGTCAAACGCTACTTGTAGAGCCAGGATTTGAATCCAAAAAGTTAGGCACTGAAACCGCTGTTGTTAACCTTCTTATAGCTGTCTATGAGTTTAATGGGTGTTATGTATGGAATTGGCCAAGTTTGCCTTCTAGACCCTCCTGTCTTTCTATGTTCTGTCCTCTAGGTATATACCCTTCTCAGAGGCCTCTATCACATCTTGCCCATGTTCCAGCACCTCAGGGTTCAATTCATTTGTACTAAAACTTAACTCAATCCACAAGTATTTGCATATTTATGAAAAAATGCCTCAAATAAGAATGTCCTCCCCCCAATAATGGGATGTTAGCTTTCTGAGTAGACGACAGACATATATATATTTTTAAGCTTATTTATTTTGAGAGAGAGAAAGAGATAGATGAGAGAGAGAGAGAGAGAGAGAAATGGGGAAGGGAGAGAAGGAGAGAGGAAGGGAGGGAACATGAGTGGGGGAGGGACAGAGAGCACAGAGCCTGATGCAGAGCTCCAACTCCATGAGATCCTGACCTGAGCTGAAACCAAAATTCAGGTAGTTAACTGACTGAGACACCCTGGCACCACCCCATGACAGACATATTTTAAAAGAGATTCTTTCTGCATCTCTCAGATTTCTCTTTACATAAGATTGTGGCTCTTTGGACTATGGGTCCATAATACAAGAATTTTCTACCAGTTTAGTTTTTTGTTCTTTGGTGCTTTAGATGAATATTAATTCATTTTTGTTGAATATCTACTTCCCTCCCCTTTTTGTTAACAAACATTGCTTGAATGCTTTCTGTACATAGGACACGAGTATACATTTAAAGATACAAATTGGCTCTTACTTTCCAGGTGTAATCTAAGTATCATATGTTAAGTTCAAAAGAAAGATCTGAAAAAAATGATATGACATTTCAGAGAATAAAGTTAGATAAGAACTGGACTTTTTAAAAGTTTTATTTTATTTTATTTTGTGGACAATGAGGCAATTTTGAAATCTTTTGAGTAGGTAGATAGATTGATCTGATTTATTTTCTGAATCAGCCTTATAAAATAAAGGGGAGGATGAAGAGGAAGAGAGTTCGGAATAGTGTAATTATTCTGAGGTAAATTCTATAGAACAAATAAATTGTAAATAGTAGAACACCTTTGTGAATCAAGGGTTTGAGGCTTGAAGTCATATTTGTATGAAAATATTAGTATTTCTCCACATTTTATCACAAAGGCTATTTTTGATGGAGGATGTTATTAAAAATATTTAATAACTGGTATGACACAAGACTTTGACAATCAGAGAAGGAAACTGGCCAATCAAAATAGGCCAGGTCCTAAATATATAATTAACAAGTCTGACCAATCTGGTATATACTGACTGAATGTCAGCTCTGCCTTTGTCTCTGGTTGCACAGCAATGGATCTTACGATTTGAAAGATTCTCCTTCTTAAACAAATGTCATAAAATAAGTAAAGCTTTTTTTTTCTAATTTCTTAATTTAATAATAAACTTTTATAATTTATATTAGCTAAGGTCAGCATAACAAATTAAATTGATACAATTTTGGCATCCATCTGTAATGCTTGGTTGTCATTTTGCTATATGGCCTTATATCAGGCAAGTGTATAATTTCCATTTGGCATTTTGAAATATGAAAATATTTACTTAACTTTATAAAATTCTGAGGGGGCAGGTGCACTGCTGTCCTCAATTAATAGTGTTGATTTAAGTCATGTACCTCATAGCCTGGAGATGTTTTAAAATCTCTCTCTCTCTCTCTCTCTCTCTCTCTCACACATACACACACACACACACACACACACACACACACACACACACCACATTAATGTCTTCATAACTGACACATTCTTTAGTTGTCAAAGTCTCTACCACTCTCTTTTGTTTTACACATTTATGTTATATTATTTTACCCATCTGGGCCCTGAAGGCAAATGCAGTTGTAATCCCTGATTTAGATATTTTTATGTTTTTAGAAACATCGTTTTGTTCAAGATTTTACCCTTTATACTTGGCAGCTTCTGTTCGGCCTGGATTTACCTTGACCTCCATTTTAGTTCAAAACTTTCTAACTCCTTTACGTCCTACTATTGACCTTCACAATTATTTTGAAAATCGCAGTTGACTTTTTCTAGTAGGTAAAACTTCTTTTTGGTTTTTGTTTTGATTCTTTTCTCTACTTACATCCCCGCTCCTCCTCTGAAACCAGTTCTTCAAAACTACAGGTCTCAAACCCCCACCAAAAAAAGTATCTGTGATCTTGAGTACTTCATGATGGCATCCTTGACCCATATTCATGCCCGGACCAACAAGAAACATTCTTGCGCCACCTTGGTTTGCCTGATAACTTCCTGTTCTTTCCATTATTCCCCGAGGACCACAGGCTGATGCTGCAGCAAAGTCCAGTCTAAGAGAGGGTCAACTTTGAGCTCTGAACATGCTGGTCTTCTCCTCCCATTGTTCCTTGTAAGATGATGGATAATTTTAGTCAGGACAAAGTAGTAGAAGGGCAACTGGAAGAATGCTGAATGGTTATCCAAGTGGCAGATATAATGCCTTTTTGATGAACATTAATGAGCTAGGGTGTACTTTGGGGAAAGTACATTACAAGGACTTTGTAAGAGAACATTATGACTGGACCCTGTAATTCTTGCTTATATCCACAAGAACTGAATGTCTGCGTATCTTGACTTTGACATTGAACTGCCCATATTAAGTAGGAGAATGGGTGGGTAACAAATGGCAGAACTTGGGGAAATATTTCTTTCTTCCTTTTAAAATAAGGCAGATGGTTTTTTGAACACAATTTGCCACAGCTCATAAAAGCATAAGAGTTCTGGTTTTTTGAAAGAGAAAATAATAAGTTGATTTTTTTTAAAGGTAAAAGTATTGTTTCTCCCAGGGGCTTAAAGAAAAAAAAGCATTGAGAAATGGGAGTGAACTGCAAGATAGGGTTTGTGTAACAAGTACCTAAAACCACAGAAGTCACATGGGCTCTTTCTGCTTTGCTACTTTTGATTACTTGTCAGAGGGTTAGAGTTTTAGCTTCCCCCATCCTGCAAGGCCACTCAACCATGTGCTAGCTGGAGTAATCTTTATTCACAATGTCTTTACAAAGGCTCCTGCAACAGAACAGCAATGGCAATCTGGTGGACTACTGTGCTGGTCCATCTTATAACTCTGACTCCACACTCACAGGCAGCTTCCGAATGGATGATAATAGAAGGATTCAAATGCTGGCAGACACAGTGGCCACTTTGCCTCGGGGAAGAAAGCAGGTATGATTACTATTTTGTACTTTCAGAGTTTTCCTGTTCTCTTGGGAACAGAGTGATATGTTTATCTGACTTTGCACTGAACTTGTACTTTAGAGGCTTGGAATTAGTCACTAAGAGTATGGGGGAGGACACAGCTAAGAAGCCCAGGTTGCTCATGGAGAAGTCCAAAAGATTTAAGACCATGATAAAATATTGTTTTCAAGGCCAAACTTAAAAGGAGATTGTTTTTCTCATTTGAAGAGGTGTTCAGGTAAAATGAAAATCGTTAAGGGCATCAAACTTAGAGAGTGCATGCAGATGTGGCCCGTTTGAGAATCATTGATCTTTTCCCCCATATGTGTCCCATTGATTCTATGCCTCCCAGCCTCACTCCGTGATAGTCATTTTCAATGGAATGAGAGTACCTTTTCTCCAGGACAGCATTTGTTGACTAAATTATTTTCAGTGCGGGGGCACAGGTACATACCTAATGCCATTGGGAATGAAGGCTTTTACTGGATAAATTGGCAGATTGAGTACCAGCTCAGCTATTTACTAGCTGGTGGGACCTTGGGCAAGCCACTTGCCTAAGACTTCGTTTTCTTTTCTCTGTAATGGAGATAATAATAGAGCCACCCTAAGGAGCTCTTCTTTGGCGTAAGTGAAGAAAATGCGCCGTGCCTGACACAGCGCTTGACGTGAAGTTGGTGCTCAACCATCATGTTCTCATTTTTATTTTTATTGTAAGGGATTTCCCTAGAGATGAAAACTCACTTAGGAAAATCCATGTCCAGCTGAGTTTATTTTTCGTTTCTTTGATTCTACAATTTCCAATTTTTAAAATAATTTTTTAACCATAGCACCTCTTCAGGTTTTAGTTATATAACTTGCTATCAGGCTCCAAGTGCATATCTGAATTTAGAACTGGAATTGCTTTAAAGCATGAATTTTTGCCCTTCAATCCTGCATGTATATCATGTGCTCCTCTTAAGCCTTCTAATTTCAGGATTAGAGAGTTAGAGCATAGTGGGCGAGTCATGATCTTTTCTCAGCCATGTATACAGCTGATTCCTCGTTATTTTTCACAATGAAGATAAGGCATAATTTGCCATGGTTGGGATTTTTGATCTTCGTTTAATGCAAAAGTGCTTTTATGACATTAAGTTTAATCAAGTGATGAACATTTCTATCAATTTACTGCCTGTCTGAAAATAAAGCAGCTATAGGAAGCACCAAGGTCTTTATTCAGGTTTCAGATATGGAGCAGTGTGTAGAAGATACAGAGATGAAAAGAATGCATTTCCTGGCCTTTTAGGGTTAACAATTCAGTAGGCAGAACAAAATAGGCATTACACAACATAAATGCTCTAATTCAAGGACGTGTCTTTTAATATAACCTTGAAGGATAGGATGTTCCAATTCTGAACGGTATTCCAGAGCAAGGGAATAATTAATGCCAAGGCACAGATCTCGGGGCCTTTAGGGCACATTGAGGTAACAGCACATTATTATGTCTGGGAGACCCAATAAGTGTCTGTTGAAGGGGAGTGGAGACCTTGGTGCTGGGCTCCTTTACGCTTGATCTTAGCGTAAAGGCCGAGAAGCCGGCGGGCTGCTTTACTAAACACTTCCCCTGAGGAAGCAGTGATTTGACCAACACAGGTAGCCACTGGGCATGTTTGAGCAGTAGAGGGTTTTAGGAGCCTCACTCTAGAAACATGGTGAGTACCTGGGTAGAGACTAGCAATGAGGGACCAACTTTTATAGTAGTTGGAGAAAAAGGAAATGGACAGAATGGAGAGGAGACCCGGAGACTTGGCTGTGAAAGGCAGTGAAAACGGAGGAGTCACATCTGGTCTTAAACTCGAGGGAAGATAGCTTCCACTAAAAAGAAGGCAGTCAGTACGAGGTTACTGGAAGGAGTTAAGGAGAGGGATTTGGGCACACAAAACACATGCATTGTGCATAGGTATATAACCTATATACACACAAATGCCCACATTCTCACACCGACGAATCTATCTGATGTTCTCATCTTTTTAGGCCCCGTCTTCTCCCTTTTCTCCTATTCTCTCCCATAGCAAACTCCTATTTAAACAGTGTTTTCTTCCTGTTGTGAGAATGACTTTAAGGAAAAAAAGAAGGCAAAACAAAAACTCTCTTCTGCATGATACTTATGATTCTGTACAGTTAGCATCAATGAGACTTGATGCAAGTTTATCCCAACATTTCAGGCTTTTCCAAATGGATGTTCATTTCCTTTAAGTGGTTTGTAGAGAATAATCACCCATTTGGCACTCCCTGAATCGCAGGCAACAAGATCCCTGTGAGGCAACCACATGAGCAGGTGTTTTTCTGCCCACTGTTATTTTCAACACTTTCAGGGCTGACGTCAACAGTTCATACTTCTCGTTATTGTTGGCTTTGGTTTCTGCAAAGCTGTATCTGGTGAGCATGTAGTTTCAGATTAATCTTCAGAAGCATTTGGGTGTTTACACTTGGAATTGCTTAAAAATAGATTTCTGTGTGTACCTCTTATCTCAATACCTGTATTTGTAGGAGGCGACAGACATCTCAGTACAGCTTCTACTTCTGAACATATTTTTGGGGGGTAAAAATCCCTGCAATGGGAAACAGTGTGGGAAGGAGACGGGAGGAAATAAAGATAGGCTTTATAAATGTGGTGATAACAAAGGAGTAGTGATTGTACCTCTGGGCCGCTCCCTCAAGGGTAGTAGGTTGCAGTTGGAAGGCAGTTTAAGAACCAGGGACCTGACAAATGGGTTAGAAACTGGAATGTGCCTCACTGGTACCACAGGTTGTCTTTGCCTGACGTTCTCCAGGTTATTGAATTATTACTCAATAGGCAACTTCAGAAAGGGTGAATTCACTTAAAAGTTCCGATCCGGAATTTTGTGCTAAACTCTGTAACGTGTCTATTTCTGGGATGGGTTCTGCCCTGCAGAAGCTTTCACATGATTTCTGTCTGTTCACCCATCTGTGACCCCAAACTCCCAAGTTTCTAACTGCAACAAGGTATCTTGATCATTAACTGAATACTTTTAGGTAGAACACTGTGTTAATTTCACTACGAAATAATTGGGAAAGTATTCTCTAATTCATACTGTGGCATGCCCTGAGTGAATAGCCCACAGTTTTTCTTGGAAAAGAAGCTCATGAGTCCACAGTGAGACTTTCTTGGGAAGCTGTGACGTTTATTTGGGTTCCTTAAGGGCACTTACGAGTTAGGAAATTGCACACGGTTCCGTTATTTTGCTGTATCTTAGAATAGTCTGTAGAGTCTTGCTAACCCAAGGTTCCTGGGTTAAAAGGGAAACAGAAACAAAACAAAACAAAACAAAACACCTGGATTCCTGGAACAATTAGGGAGATTGCAGCAGAGACTGGAAAAGAGAACAAGGCACAGGATTTGGGCTTTTGAAACAAACAATAGAAACAAAAGAAACATGTTAATATATATCCTCTCTCCACCCCCAATACTTTCCGGAAATGCATTCACTCGGTGGGGACCAGGAAGTAACAATCTGTTACTTAGCAGCAGAAGTGGCTGCAGTATTGAACTTTGAGCTCCTGTGAGTCTGCTGGCTCTCTGGCTGAGCTACAGATTACCCTGATCTTTTGCAAACTGACAGCTGACATATTTAGTGTTGGCTTCCCCCTAAAGAGGGACATTGTAAATCACCGCATAGCGGCAAAAATTCCGTTTTGAATATTAATGCCTGATCTTTGAAGCCCTCTGACTAAAAACAAAAGAAGAGGAATCATAAACTCAACCCCAGGCATCTTTATATTAGTGGCTAACAAGGGGTTAAGGAGCTTTGTCTAATCAGCGGTCGTCATTGAATGTGTGGCTTGCAGGCCTGCCAAATTGCCAAACCTAGAGTTCTCATATTAGATAATGTGTAATAAAAGACAGCTGTTGCCGGCATATGCCGTTCATCACACACCCGTTCCTTATCCATACGTTTTGGTGTCTCCGCTGCAACCCCGAGAAAAGGCTCTGGCTGGGAGCGCATTCGGGAGCACTGACGCCCCGGGTTAGAGCCTAGAACGGGTTAGAGCCTAGAACAGGTTAGAGCCTAGAACAGGACCGCTCACTCTAGGAAAAGGGCTGTAGGCACAATATTTTTCAAAGGGTGATGCTTTGGATAAGGCCTTAGGCATGCTTCTTCCCACTTCGGCAGATACCCGGGTGCCTGAGCACGGGCTGAACCCTGGGAACATTCCTTTTCACATGGCCTGAGTCTGACAGCCCAGATCACATGCAAGGAGGCTGTGTGTCAAGATGTGGCACGTGTCAGAGAATTTGATGGTGCCTAATTTGTTGAAACTGTTTTTTCTTTAAACATTAGGTGCCTAAGAGAGGTTCATCGCTGATCTAGAGTAGAAACCAATTTACAATTTGACTTAGTCTGATTTTGTGTGTGTGTTGCTGGTAACCCAAATCAGTTGATCCACAGGAATTGGGTCTCTGCCGTGCGCCTCACGGTGTGCTAGGCAAATATTTTCAACTAGTTGATTAGCTAGATAGAGAGGTGAGCCAGAGAAAAGTAGGAAAATTGCTTTCTGTGTAGAGGATTTGGGTTTGTCTTGTGGAGTTAAACTATTTTATATTTGAATTTATCTGGAATGATTTTTTTTTTACTTTAGAAGGCAGGTTACAGGTGGACCAGATGAAATCTTAACGTTCCTGTCAGTGCTGTGATTATTTGCCTGGCAAAAGGGCATTTAAAATTGCTGAGGAAAGGCTGGAAATAACTCATTCATTTTGGCCACCATTTATTCATTTGGCAGTTATGTATTAAGGCATTAGAACTTCCTTTGTTTCCTATTAATCCTTTATGGTTCTTGCTGTTTTTGGACTGAGATGGTTTTGTTCTTTTCGTTTTGTTTTGTTTTTCATTTTTGATGTTGTCACGTGTTTGGGATTTTCTTAAATTTAATTTTCTATTTTTAATGATTACCCTTGAGTTTTTCCTGCAAATATTTAAAATTTGATGAAGGGCAAAGTTGAAGAACATTTTAATGCATTTCTCCTGAACTTGATCTTGCACCACTACTTACTTACGTTGGTGTCTAATAGTTTACTTCTATTTGTCTATTTAGCTATTTTGAAGTTTCCCCTATATTCCAGGCACTGCACTAGGCACTGGGGTAGAAAATAAAACAAGTACAGTCCCCACGTGGCTCTAAGGATAAAGGTAATTCTGTACAGAGGTGAGGTATCTGATCCAGCATACCCTTTATATAAATACACATACAGTCTCCACATACAAGAATGTGTGACTAATATGATGAATATTGATAGCAAGAGTAGTATTTTTAAATATAAGCCCTGGCTACGATAACAGGTAACAGGTAGATATGACCTACCTACGAAGCTTGCAATCGGAAACAAGGATAAAAGCCCGGGAGATGCAAATAATGAAAGTCGATTGAGACAATGTGAGTGCAGTGTGCTGGCGAGATGAAAATACTTGGGAATATCAAGTTTATTGCTCTCTTTTATAAGAAGGCAGCCCTACTGCATAGCTGAGTCGTCCCTCGCCCATGTTTGTGGTTAGTAGGACAAATCAGGACGAAATAAACTATGCACATTGTTGCGGGCCATCTATCATTAGTCCTTACAAATTGAAAATAAATAATTTCTGGCAAATCTAGAGAATCTTTTTGGGTCTGAGCCTTCTGATTGCAGACTTCAGGATGATGCAAATGATTTGAGGGGTGGAACTGAAAAGACAAGGAATTCCAAAACATAATCAATTTGCATCAAAGCGAGGAGAGATCATCTCTTCCTTACATTAGCTTAACTGACCAATCAGTAGCCAAATTCTGAACGCTGAGCCATTTCAGAAAGTTTGTGAAAAGGCTGGCATTTCGTACTTGATAATTCAGATTCATTACAGTGACGTAGGCTTCTGTCCTAACAAATGCCTTAATGAGGGTTTTGTTTGTGCATTAATTTTATGTGTTTTTCGCCTTCTGATTTTCAACCTCTATTTGTTTGGATTATGTGTTGATCTCCTGACTTTTTTTTTCTTAGTTTATTTATTTATTTTGAGAGAGAGAGAGCGAAACAGAGAGAGCATGAGCGGGATAGGGGCAGAGAGAGAGAGAGAAAGAGAATGCCAAGCAGGCTCCACAGCGTCAGCTCACAGACCGATGTGGGGCTTGAACTCACAACCCTCGAGATCAGGACCTGAGCCAACACCAAGAGTCAGAAACTTAACTGGCTGAGCCACCCAAGCGGCCCCTGACATTTTTATGTATTCACTGATAGATGACAGGCGTGTCAGGTTGACCATGAAACACCCATGGGTTAGCTAGGATTGCAGTTTACATTTTGGGCCACTGGACCAACATTTGAGAAAGGGCTGATTCCCATTTGTTAATTCCTAAACAATAACACAAAAACACAGAAAAAACAGCCATCACCTGAAAAAACAAGATGCTGCCTTTTGCTGACGTTTCCTATTTACAAGGGTAGAAGGTATCTCAGAAGTTTATGTTTATAGGATCTTTTTCCAAAATATGCCGAGGAGGAAAGGTGATAGTATTCCTGTTGTTTATACTATTTGGTTCCTTTGCTCTCTTGGCTACAGATCTCACCGCACTCTTCCAGACCTTCTGCAAAAATCAATCATAAGCAGAATTGAGGTTTGGAGTCCCTGGTTTCACCTGAATTGTGCTTCTGCATATGAGTTGGTTCTTTAGAGATTATTTTATCCTGTTAAAAACAGTAACATATTGAACTATTATAATAAATACAGTCATTTCATCAGTATCTCAAAAAACTATCAAGCATTTGAGTTTTATATGCCATTCTGTGGGTGTTGTTTTCTTTGGATTTCCGTGTGATTAGAAATTGCTATGGTTAATCTTTCAGAGGCTATTTTAAATAGAGATTAGAGATGACATTCCTTTTGGAAGCTTTGGAGTTTTGCCACATTACGTGGACTCTTTTTGCCAGGGTGTATTATTATCTGAGCCTCATTTAGCCTTTTAATGCTCCAACATTCCCCTTCCCCCGCTCTCCTTTGCTACCACTAGAAAATGGAAATTACTACCTTTCCATAACAATTTCCCAGAGCTGGGCCAAAGAAGGTGACAAAGAACAAAGTGCTTGGTGATTTACAACACTTCATAGTTGTGTCTTAAGGACCTTTGGATAACTGTGTGCTTATTCTATTTTTCAGCTTGCTTTGACGAGATCAAGTTCTTTAGGTGACTTCTCCTGGTCTCAAAGGTAAAGAGATTCATGTATTTTTGTGTCTCTCACCAAGGCATTCAGGAGCACAGCTCTTCAGACTGTGGACGACAACACACACACACACACACACACACACACACACACACACACAGAGTCTCACATACTACAGTTTACATGAACGTCAGCTGTTCGTAATTGTGGCAGTTATTTAATGATACGTCTGTGACAAATGTGATACTTTGGTCTTCATGCATATTTTTCAATTTTTTTTTTGTTACAGAAAGCTTGTTACCGTGGAAAAGCAAGATAATGGAACTTTTGGATTTGAAATCCAGGTGGGCAGTTTTCAATTTTCCAGATTTTAATGAAGAAAGTGGCACTGATAGTATGATATTTGCAAAGAAAGAGTGAAGACAGGATCAGAGAATCATGGGCTCCGTGACTTGTATCTGTGACTTTTATCCAGTGTGCAGTGGTTTGGGGGAGTTTTTCAGCGTGCTGGGTGCCATCAAGGAAAGAAAACATTGAAGCCAAAATAAAACCCCTGAGACCTGCTCAGCTCCTTGTTCTGAGTTGCTTTAGTTTTCCTGTAAGTCTGAGCCTGATCAGAAACACTTGGTTTCAGCCAGATCTTCTAAATAAGAAAGTGAAATACTCTATTACAGATGTGCATTTTATATATTTGCATTTAGGATGTGTTTTGCATAATCATTTTTGTACTGTATATCAGATTTTAAATCTATTCTCTGGCATTCAAGAAATACTTGAAAGCGTGTATATTTGTGTATATGGGACTGCATGTATTCCTGTGGAACCTCTGTTACATTTTGAGATACTAAGGATTTCATCTTGGATATGGCGAAGGAAATTGGACTTTTTTCTTAATGACAACACCTTATAATTACTGTTTGAAACATTTTAGAACATTTGGGTCTACCTGCATATTGTCTCATGCTCTAGGAAGTTTCTAACAGTCTTTGTAAGTTTCTATTTTTTTTTTTTTTGACATTTCAAAAAAAATGTTTATTTTTTGAGAGAGAGAGACAGAAAGAGAGAGTTTGAGACAGAGCGTGAGCAGGGGAGGGCTAGAGAGAAGGGGACACAGAATCCAAAGCAGGCTCCAGGCTCTGAGCTGTCAGCACAGAGCCCAATGCAGGGCTCTAACTCACAAACCATGAGATCATGACCTGAGCTGAAGTTGGACACCTGACTGAGCCACCCAGGTGCCTCATATAGGTTTCAATTTCTAATAGCTTAAAAATTTCATTTCTTATTTGCTCTCTGCTTTTTCATGGCCATATTTGTAAAGATGGTGAGTTAGGTCAGATGAAGTCCAGTCCGATTAAGTGCAACAGTAATAGCTTATGTATTATTGTTTTTTTTTTCTCCATCACACTTTGGCATTTCTTTTAGATAATCATAGTCTTTTGCATAATCGTATTCTTATAGTGCACATCAGCTTTGAGATTAACTTTGGTGCTGCTTTCAAAAAACTTTGGTGACTGAATATCAACCCCCAAATTGGAAAGATGCTGTGTATTTGAAGATTAGGAACAGGAAACTGCTAATAAGTAAAACATGCCTTCTGAATGAAGAAACCAAATGGAACCCTAGCTATAAGGAATAGGGAGAAGGCTATAGGAAGAAGAAAGATACTTTCTACTTTCTGAACTATTCTACTTTTAAATTCGGTGACACCTATGATTCTTCTATGAGGTTTTAGAAGCATAGTACTCTCTCTTACTCCCCATTCATACGAAACGCTCTCTCTCTCTGCTGTGGAGACACTGCCTTTTGTGCTTGCTTTTAAATGAGAATTATCCAGAGGGTATGTAGCAGTTGCTACTGGAAACAAGATCGATGACTACCCACTTATCCTATTTAATGTAACAAGTGAGGATTTTCTTCTTACTCTTCTATGATATATGTCATTGATTCCCCATGTTTCTCCCCCATACCATGAATGCGGACTCCACATGGAGCACAAGTCAAAACTATCATTAGTGGACAGCAGGTTACAGCAGCTAGAACCTTTGTAGATAAACACGAGTTAATGATTTTATTTCTGAACTGCAGTGTGTTCCAGTAAAGCAGGAACCCAGTCCTCTGCCAATTTCCTCTTGGTATTTGCTTTCCATTGCCAGCTCCACACCATCATCTATTCTTTTTTTTTTTAATGTTTATTTATTTTTGAGAGAGACAGAGAGAGAGTAGTGGAGGCACAGAGAGAGAGGGAGTCAAAGAATCAGAAGCAGGCTCCAGGCTCTGAGCCGTCACCACAGCTCCCACGAACAGCGAGATCATGACCTGAGTGGAAGTCGGACGCTTAACCGACTGAGCCAACCAAGCGTCCCCACACCATAATCTATTCTTTAACAGTCCTAAGGTTTGCAGTAGTCATCAAATAGGGGAAATACTCTGGGAATTTTTTGAAGACCAGATAGAGCCTCATGTATCCCCATCGTGCACCCATGGTTAACATGTATTTGGGTTCTGGTCTACCAAGTGAAGGGCACATTGGCAAAGAAACTACACATCCCCTTTGGATTTCCCTGGGTGCTAGTTTTATACTGTTAGTGAGAGCCACACAGTTTGATAGCAACACAAATGTTAGATTCATACACACCAAGTTCATGTTCTCTCGGTGCTGCCTGGTGGGATTCTTAGGAGTTTCAAATGAAACAATACGTCATATAAAGTCCTTAGTAACGTGCCCGGTACCAGTAGATCAAACAATGGCAGGTGTTAGAATAAAGGTCACTGGGCCTGAGAGAGGGCAATGTGACTTTTATATCTCTGAGAAATGCAGAGGATTGTTCTGTCATTGGCTTCTAAAAATGGGAACTAGAAGACTAGGGGTGTGTGTGTGTGTGTGTGTGTGAGGGGGGCGGGGGGGATTATTTGACTCTTTCAGTCCAGAACTATGGGGCTTCTGCCTTTTCTTCTCTGTCCCCAATCCACAAATTTTACACTGGTTGTGCGCATATATGCTGGCTGTGTAAATCAACACGTTTCCCCTCATTGTACTCACTTTGATCACTGGACCTGGAGGGCAGATTCTCACTGCTAATAAGAGCTGTTATAACGGTGGTTTCCCAGAGGAGTGACTGTTAGAGCTTTGGTTCATGTACCGCATGGACTAGATCACCTTTTCATTCCTGAAAGGGTCCAGGCTGTAGCAAGACTTCCTGGCAGAAAAGCTGTTAAAGGGATCTGACATAGAGCGAAGTGTAATAAATGACCTTTAAAGGTCCCTCGTACCTTTATGATATAGGGATTCTAAATGCCTTGCAGAGTGAATAGAGATTTCTTGGATGTTAACTAAGTCAAGTTTCTAGGAGTCGCATGCACATGATTGACTTCTGGTTCTGGAGTCTCTGCGTCTGTAAAATAAGAAGGAGTGAACATCAGGCATTAATTTCTCCACGGAGAAGCAGTACTGTAATGGGAATAACTTTAGGAATCAGATTACTCAACTCAGATACTGATTTTGATTCTAAATGGAACCAGGCTTCGTAACTTAAATGTGTGAAAAAGAAAAATATGTTTGTTATAGGTCACTGGGCCACTATATCGAGCAATATTTATGGAGTGTTCTTGGTACAATTTGAAACAAAAATAAAAACAAAACCAAGCGGCTTTTGACAAACTGAGGCAAGAGACGAAGCATAACTTTTTCTAATTTAGTTGAGTGACTAATGAACCGGTGAGTATTCAGGCAGGCATACCAGAGAGCACTTAGACAAGAAGGTAATCACGTCAATTATAGCACTTTTGAAAAAATACAGGGCAGATTGTCATTATTTGCAGAGCTCTGATTTAAAATAATTATTGTTGGCACATCTCCCTTCCTGGATGTGTACTGTTCCATATGCTCTTGTAATGAGTGCTTTAGCTTGGGAGAACCACACAGAGATTTTTCTCTTTGCTTTTTGGCTACTATTGTTTTATCCCATTGGGAAATAAGAAACCTAATTTTTCTTAATAGATATGTAATAATGAGAGCATCAGGTGGTCTCTCAGGCTTGAAAATGGAAAATCTTGAGCCAGTCTTATCCCACTTTTAGTCTCACCCTGGATTTTTTTTTTTTTAATGAAAAGGGTTGGCTACAGATTTCATCATAGAATCTCAGGACTGGTACCTTTGATTCAGTTTATATTCAAGAAAGCCTTTCCAATTGTTCTTTGTACTTTTACCTGTTCTGCTGCGTAATCAACACCCTTTTATTTTTTGACACATAGATTTTGAATTTTTTGAATAATAATTATGTATCACTTGAATTTTTAGACTTACAGGCTCCAGAACCAGAACATGTGCTCTTCTGAGATGTGCACTCTGATTTGCAAAATACAGGAGGATAGCCCAGCCCACTACGCTGGCCTGCAAACTGGTAATTTATAACTTTGCTCATGTTGGGAATGATTTAAATAGCAAGAAAAGAAATCTTTATGCTACCGAAGGTCAGGATATGATTGCTGCTTTGAATTTTCTTCCCTCTTTTATGTTGCTAAGGTTTGGGGCTTGCTTGTTTTGTTTTATTTGCATGTCAGGAGGGATTCTTTAAGCAAGTGTTTTAACACTCACTTTCCTTGGCATCTCCCAGGTGATGTCCTTGCAAATATCAATGGTGTGAGCACGGAAGGCTTTACCCACAAACAAGTCGTTGACCTGATCAGATCTTCAGGAAACGTGTTAACGTAACTATCCATCTGCTTCCCATGGGGCTTCAGAAATGTTATGGTCTCTCACAATGCCTGTTGAGTGAATGAATAGGCTTTTTGTTCAGGATCACAAGAAGGGAGGCAGTGCACCAAAGCTTTGGGATCGGGTACAGACCTGTATTATCAGTCCCTTTTGTTTCTCAAGGTTTCCTCAAACTTGAAAGTATTGTCAACATCTAAAGTCAGAGGACATCAATAGCCTCTACATCTGTGTGGGAGGGATGGCATTTAGAAAATTTATTTATTTATTTATCTTAATGTCAAATTCAACTAAACTGGCACCACATTCTCTTTGGATAGAGAGGAATTAGTCCAGCTTCCATGGTTGATATAATCTTGTGGTTAGAACAAATAAAAGGTCAGGAGGGCTGAGTTTTTTACTCTCACACCACAAGCCAATTGTTTTTCTCTTCTAGTGTTCCATTTAGCAGGAAGAAAACTCTGGTCAACCCTCCCTGCCCTGCGACACACACTCACACTTACTAATAGTCCAGACTTACTCATGGGAGAGTGTTCTCCCCAACTAGAGATTTGACTGAATTTTCTACCATACCATCCTTTAGAGCCTAATAAGACTTCAGTAATTAGTTACAAGATGGAATTTCCTCAGTCATTCAAATGATATTTATTGAGCAAATACTATGTTTCCAGCTTTGTGATATAGGCTTAGGAGAGACAAAGACAAGGACTCTTGTAGTGCTTTATTATCTGTGGAGGGAGATGGACAAGGAAAGCCTTCAAAATAAGTAATTTTGAAATTTCAACTTTTGGTTACTGCTATTAAGAAAGTAAAATGAGGAACGGGGTAGAATACTGAGTAATAGGATTCTACCTGCGTTTAGAGGGATCTTGCCTGAGGAGGGGAAATCTGGGCTGAGACATAAAGAAAAAGAAGGGATGGTCATGTGAACTTCTGGTGAGAGCCTTTCAGGCAAAGAGAGAGGTCTGTGAATTCTCAAAATGGGCTTGGCATGTCCAAGAGATAGAGAAACAACCAGTGTGATGGGTGGTTGGTAGATTAGGGAGAATATAAGAAATGAAGGCAGGGAGTTGGCCAGGGGGCAGAGCATGGGTCTTGTCAGGCTAAGTAATTTAAGCATTTATTCTGACTAAGGTGGGGTGTGTGTGCATTATCTCGCTCGTCCTTCACAGCCACCTTGTGATGTTAGTTTTATTTCTATTTATAGATCAAGTGCCTGAAGCTTAAGTTAGGTGGAATTAAGATCAATGATATAGTAAGTGACTGGGCTAGGATTTGACCACCCACTCTGGAAGCCAAGATCTGTTCTCTTCAGCTACCCCACAGCTGCTCATTGCAAGCTGCCAATAGAAAATCCTCTGGATGCTCTTCAATTATTCTGGTCTAAAGCTTCAAAGATGTTCTTACTGTGTGTGGGACTCCTGATGGTCCAACTCTGTGGATCCTGTGAGTTCAGGGTAAAGGAGCTCTTTACTCCAGAGAAACTTGAATCTATATGGTTGGAGTCATATAGAATCCCAGGGGAAATGGTGGCAGTTAGAATGAGGAGGCTATGTTCCAAATGGTTGAAGTGGGTAGAACACAGGTATGTAATTAAGGAGTAGTGGGTGGAAACAAATGGAAATTCAGACGTCAGGAAAATGAGAGACAACTGTATAAATACTGAAGAGGGTGACCAGTGTATTCCTGAGGTTTGGCACATAGACATTTATTGCTTGTTCAGCTCAGGTCAGCATTAAAGTTCCCACTGAAACAGATTCATAGGGATCCTCACTCGTGACCAGAGACAAGACCATCCTAATGAGAAAGGAGACAACATCTTGGCTTTCATTATCATTTCATTATCTTGGGAATGATGCTATTAGAAATAGAGAAAAATTCATCTCCATATTTAATGCTATTATTCCCCCATGACTTGAAAGATTTCCTGAATCTTAATAAATAGTTACAGCTTATTTGTCAGAAGGAATTTGAACCAATACTTTAAAAATATTTAGGTGTGTGACTAACACATGGAATTTGTTACCTTATTCAGATTGCTGACTTAGTAGTCAAAATAAAGGCCTCAACATGAGCCCACAAAACAAATCACTCAGGACAGAACACGTCCTTTTATTTTTAGAAAGGCATTTGGTATAGGGAGAAAAGAACAGCATCAAACTGATAATGCTAGGATTAAGGTTTATAAACCTAAAAGGCTCCAAGATGTGAGAGTCATAAGAAGGTTATTATCGCTTAGTGGTTTCGGTTCCGTCTGTTCGAGCTGCGAAATTAAGTCAATTTACAGAGTAAAGGTCCCTAGCATCCCAGGAAAGAAAGGATGTTTCCCTTTTCCAAGAAAGAGCATGGTGCTTCCACTGTTTGAAAATCCCTATTGCATGTTGGTTTCATTGCTGGACCCCTCATGCTAAGCATGACTATCTAAATTCTGGCACACAGTAAATGCCCAGTAAATATTCACCAAATAGAATAGGTGATTCAGTCAGAGACCATAAGAACAGATTCCATCAGAGAACAACAATCATTGCCATAACGCTGGCATCTATAAAGCGAGCCATCGGTTACAGGTTAAACAGTATCTTTTCTTTCAACCTCCCTCTCTAGGGGACATTTTGTTTTTGTGTTGCTTTTGTTCCATTTTCTTTCTCTGAATATTGTCAGAAGATTCCGCCTAGGTGCAGATACTTGACGTGCCATGGAAATAATAACATTTATGTTGCTTTTTTAAGTGTAGTCTGTGCTCAAAGTGGCATAATCTACAAGGATGGTACTTGTTTGAAAGAATCACTCATGCTGTTCCCTTCCCCCCTCCCTTTCTCTTAAAACAGGATAGAGACTCTTAATGGAACAATGATTCTCAAAAGAACAGAGCTGGAAGCAAAGCTACAAGTTTTAAAGGTAATTTAATTTAATACAGCGAGGTACCTTTTTCATCCTTGAATGTGTGAGTGGTAGAATAAAAATCTATTTGAGGGATTGAAATAGCCCTTGAAGATGAAATGTCATGATGAGTCTAAACTGCTGAATTATCAAGAGCCACACAATTATCTTTACAGGAATATTAAATTCCACAAGCCAGTGCAAATCACGTTCTTCCTTCCTCCTTCGGTGTTTCTGTGAGGCTCAGAAAAGCAACAGGAAGGCACATCACTTGAAGGACTTTTCATTCATGCACCTGTGATCTCTCTTGATTTACATTTTGTTTGGGGAAGAAACAAAGGAGGAGTTGCTGGTCTTTTCTTCATTTTTTTCCCCCCGTGTTGCCTGTTTGCAGGAGGGCCTAGAAGTTTTGTTTTTCCACTTTCCTCTTCTGTGTCTTTCTGTTCAGCCTCTTTCTTCCTCCAGAAATCATCTCCCTCTGCTCCTGTGGTTGTCCTTGAATCTCCTTTCATTGGCCAACACGCAGTCAACTCTGAAGCGGGGAAAAAAAAAAAAAAAAGTTTCCAGGAGACAGTGCATATTGCAGGATGTTTAGATACAATTCCCTGGGATGGCTTTTTGGGGGTCTTGAAAATCTCAGTTTGCTACATGGGTGAGGTTCTGCCAGGCCGTGAAGTACAGCCCTCACCCATGTGCATGTGAGTCATGGTCCTACAGATTGCAATGATCTCTTTATCCCAGAGATCTCCCCTGCATGGCAGTGAGGGGGCCAGTCTAAGCAGAGACCACACGGCCTACTACAGGCAGGTTGCTTGCCTGGACTGTGTTTAGCAATAGCTGGTGTTTATCAATTTTCTTTGTGAAGCATGTACTTCTTTTCTTTTTAACGTTTATTCATTTTTGAGAGAACTAGAGAGAGCATGCACATGTGCGTGCCAGTTGGGGAGAGGCAGAGCTGGGGACAGAGGATCTGAAGCGGGCTCTGTGCTGACAGCAGAGGGCTCGATGTGGGTCTGGAACTCACGAACTGTGAGATCATGACCTGAGCCAAAGTTGGACGATTAACCAACTGAGCGCCCCTGAAGTGTGTACATTTTAATTTTTGCGCCCGGGAGGGTAGAGTTACTGTTTCTGTTTTATCTTGTATTCTTCCTCCCTCCCCCCACATCTAGTTCATCAATAACCTCTGTTTCCTTCTGTATCAACACTGATTTTGTACTCTTGTTATTGTACTTATTGCTATATTTTGAGTTAATTTGTAAAATTTCTTTAAAAATTCCTCTGTTCAGATTATGATGGGAATTGACATTTATAGAATAAATATCAATTGACATCTTTATGGTTTTCACTTTTCCTACTTCAAACATAGGACTTGATCTTTTAAATCAGGTTTTTTTTGTGTACTTCAAAAATATTTTATAATTTCTTCATGCACTGCTGTATATCTTTTATTATGTTTATTCTTATGTACCTTCTAAGTTTTCTTGCTATAATAAATATGATCTTTTAACTTTAATTTAATTTATTTATGTTTACTTATTTTTAGAGAGATAGAGAGTGCACATGCATGAGTGGGAGAGAGGAGGAGAGAAGAGACAGAGAGAGAGACAGAGAGAGAGAGAGATTGGATCCCAAGCAGGCTCTGTGCTGTCAGACCAGAGCCTGATGGGGGGCTTGATCCCATGAATCATGAGATCATGACCTGAGCTGAAATCAAGAGTTGGACGCTTAACTGAGCCACCCAGGTGCTCCAATATGATCTTTTACTTTTAAAAGATCTTTTAGGTTGTTGCTATTTACTTTTGTGTAAATAAAAAAAATAATGTTTATTTTTGAGAGAAAGAGAGAGAGAGAGATGGAAAGAGCGAGCAGGAGAGGAGCAGAGTGAGAGAGAGACACAGAATCTGAGCTGTCAGCACAGAGCCTGACGCGGGGCTCAAACCCACAAACCGTGGGATCATGACCTGAACTGAAGTCAGACGCTTAGCCATCTGAGCCACCCAGGTGCCCCTGTGTAAATTTTAAATCCAGTAGTCTTGCTGAAGTCTCTTTATTCCAATATGTTTGTAGATTCTCTTAGATTTTTTTATTTAGACACAATATTATCTGCAGATACTGAAAGGTTTGGCCCTTTACTCCCTGATTATTCAAATATAGCTGATCCTTGAACAACAAAGGTTTGAAGTGCAAGGATTCAGCTTACTTTATTGTAGGGGTACAGTATGTAACATAACATACAAAATATGTGCTAACTGTTTATGTTATCATTAAGGCTTCCAGTCAACAGTAGGCTATTAGTAGTTAAGTTTTTAGGGAGTGCAGAGTTATATGTAGATTTTTTTACTGTGCAGGGGTCAGTGCCCCAACCCCCCCATGTTGTTCAAGAGTGATAATCTTCTTGTTCTTGACCTTAAAGGGAATGCCTCTAACATTTTATCATGAATATTTTGTATGTAATAAACAGTGCTTCATATTACATTTAGGTTTTTTTTTTTTTTTTTTTTTTTTTTGAGAGAGAGAGAGCATAAGTGCAAGTGGGGAGGGACAAAGGGAGAGGGAGAGGGAGAAGAGAGAATCTCAAGCAGGCCCCAGGCTCAGCATAGAACCCAGTTCAGGGCTGGATCAAGTGTGAGGTCATGACCTGAGCCGAAATCAAGAATCAGATCCTTAACTGACTGAGCCACCCAGGCTCCCCTATTTAGGTTTTAAAACTGTCAAAACTTAATTTGTTTTTGTAAAAGAGAGTATTCGTGAACATCTTTTTGTTGTTGTTGTTGTTGTTGTTGTTGTTGTTGTTGTTGTTAAATAAACCTGGCTTCTTTAACCTTTTGTAGAAAAAGGAAAGAAATGTACAAAATAAACCGGTGGTGTTATTTAAAGTATGACTGATCAAATAGGACTATATTTCACGGAATAAAGAATTCTCCTGTAAAAAACACGTTTCATGTTTCTAAGCAATTTCTGCTCCTTCAATGTTTTCTCTTGAAGTTTTAATATTCATACTTACCTATTTTTTTTTTTAATTTTTTTTTCAACGTGTATTTATTTTTGGGACAGAGAGAGACAGAGCATGAACGGGGGAGGGGCAGAGAGAGAGGGAGACACAGAATCGGAAACAGGCTCCAGGCTCTGAGCCATCAGCCCAGAGCCCGACGCAGGGCTCGAACTCCCGGACCGCGAGATCGTGACCTGGCTGAAGTCGGACGCTTAACCGACTGCGCCACCCAGGCGCCCCCATACTTACCTATTTTTTAAACGATGCATGAATTTCTTCAATATACCCATCCTCTCATAGAACATCATAAGAACGTTAACATGTTTAAATGTCCATTTAAGACCCCATCTTTCTTATTATTGCTTGCCTTTGGAGAATTTTATCAACTTTTAGAAAGAAAAACTACAGGCTTCTGTTGCAGATATCTGGTAGTGAACAAATACACTCATACGTTGAATTGGCCTGCTTGCTGTTTTTTTCTGTTCCTTACCTCTGGGTTTACTTTCTTTTTTTTGCCGTAGTACTTGCTTTTAGCAAGGGTAAGTAGGTCTTTCTTTGCCAAGAAAATCTTTCACTGCTACTGCTGAAGGAGAGTTTTGCGAGGTGACTGAATTATTCTTAGCTGATGCTCTGTCTCCTTAGCACTTTAAATGTATTGCGCCTTTGATATTTTTGTTTATGAAAGATCTCCTATTTTTTTATCCTTTGTAGGTAATCTGCACTTTCTATATTTTCTTCTAAAAGGTTTAAGGTTTTTCTTTTTTACACTTACATTCTGAATGCATCCAGAGTTAAGTTTTACATGTGGTTTGCGATGGGATTCTAATTTTCTCTGATTCTCATATGAATACTCAGTTCTCTCAGTACTACTTATTGTATAGTCCGTCTTTTCCCCCAACTGAACTGCAGAGAAGCCTCTGTTTTCAAGCACGTTTCATATATGCATGGTTTTTCTTATGGGCTCCGTATTCCGATCCATTGTTTATCTCAAACTCCGTTATTTTACCTTAAATATTGGTATTCCATTGAGCAAAACGTCCAGGTTATTCTTGGTTCTTTGATCATCTATATAAATGTTAGAATCAGGTTGTCAAGTTCTGTAAGTACATTTTAGAATTTTGATGGATACCACATTGTATGTAGATAGCTCAATTTTAAAATGCTTGACACTTGTATGGTATTGAGTTTTCTTTTTTTTTTTTAATTTTTTTTTTCAACGTTTTTATTTATTTATGGGACAGACAAAGACAGAGCATGAACGGGGGAGGGGCAGAGAGAGAGGGAGACACAGAATCGGAAACAGGCTCCAGGCTCCGAGCCATCAGCCCAGAGCCTGACGCGGGGCTCGAACTCACGGACCGCGAGATCGTGACCTGGCTGAAGTCGGACGCTTAACCGACTGCGCCACCCAGGCGCCCCTGTATTGAGTTTTCTTAGTGACAGACGATCTCGCCATTTTTTCGCCCATCCTCCCACTCCCCACCCCTCTGGCAACCACCAGTTCTCTGTATTTTTTGAATCTGTTTCTTTTTGTTTGTTTTGTTTGTTTGTGGAATTTTTTTGGATTCCACATAGGAGTGAAATCCTGTGCTATTTGTCTTCCCCTGTCTGATTTATTTCATTTAGATAGTATCCTCTAGGTCCATCCATGCTGTCACAAATAGCAAGATTTTATTCTTTTTTGTGGATGAATAATATTCCACTGTTTATGGACACCATTTATCCATTTCTCTATTTATGGACACTTAGGGTGCCTATACATCTTGGCTATTTCTTTTAAGTTTATTTATTTTTAGAGAGAGAAAGAAAGAGAGAGAGAGAACATACACGTGAGTGGGGGAGGGACAGAGAGAGGGGGGGAGAGCATATCCCAAGCAGGCTCCAAGCTGTTAGTGCGGAGCCCTACTTGGGGCTCGACCTCACGGACCGTGACATTATAGCCTGAGCCAAAATCAAGAGTGGGGCATTTAGCCAACTTCGCCACCCAGGCGCCTATTTTTAAATTTTTGAGAAAACTCCATACTGTTTTTCACAGTGGCTGCACCAATTTGCATTCCTGCCAATAGTGCATGAAGTTTCTTTTGTCTCCACATACTCCCCAGTACTTCTTATTTCTTGGGTTTTTTATATTAGCCATTCTGACAGATGTAAATGATATCTCATTGTGGTTTTGATTTACATTTCCCTGATGATAACTGATGTTGAGTGTTTTTTTCATGTGTCTATTAGCCATCTGTATGTCTTCCTTGGAAAAAAATGTCTATTTAGGTCCTCTGCCCATTTTTAGTGGGATTATTTGGGGCTTTTTGGTGTTGAATTATGGAAGTTCTTTACATATGTTGAATATTAACCCCTTGTTGCAGATATCATTTGCAAATACCTTCTCACATTCAGTTGCCTTTTTGCTTCATCGGTGGTTTCCTTTGCTGAGCAAAAGCTTTTAATTTTGTTGTAGCCCCATAATTTATTTTTGCTTTTGTTTCCCTTGCCTGAGGAGACATATCCAAAAATATGTTTTTAAGACCAATGTCCAAGAGATTACTACATATGTTTCCTTTTAGGAGTTTTATGGTTTCCTGTCTCATATTTAGGTCTTTAATCCATTTTGAGTTTATTTTTTATATGGTATAAGAAAGTGGTCCAGTTTCATTCTTTTGCATGTAGCTGTCCAGTTTTCCCAATTACTGAAAAGACTGTTTTTTCCCCATTGTATATTATTAACTCCTTTGTCATAGATTGATTAACCATATAAGTATGGGTTTGTTTCTGGGCTCTCTATCCTAGTCCATTGATCTATGTATCTATTTTTGTGCTGGTGTAATGTTTTGATTACTTTGGCTTTTTAGTTTATCTTGAAATCTGAGATTGTGATACCTCAAGTTCTGGTGTTCATTTTTAAGATTGTTTTGGCTATTTGGGTTCTTTTGTGGTTTCATACAAATTTTAGGATTATTGTAGTTCTTTTTTTTTTAATGTTTATTTATTTTTGACAGAGAGACAGAGCATGAATGGGGGAGGGTCAGAGAGAGAGGGAGACACAGAATCTGAAAGAGGCTCCAGGCTCTGAGCTTTCAGCACAAAGCCCGACGCGGGGCTCGAACTCACAGACCACAAGATCATGACCTGAACCGAAGTCGGATGGTCAACTGACTGAGCCACCCAGGCGCCCCTTAATTTTTTTTTAACGTTTATTTATTTTTCCAGAGAGAGAGGGAGATAGAGCACAGACAGGGGAGGGGCAGAGAGAGAGGGAGACACAGAATCCAAAGCAGGCTCCAGGCTCTGGAGTCAGCACAGAGCCAATGCAGGGGCTCAAACCCACAAACATGAGATCATGACCTGAGCCGAAGTCTGGTGCTTAATTGACTGAGCCACCCAGGCACCCCAGGATTATTCTAGTTCTTTAAAAAATGCTATTCATGGAGCGCCTGGGTGGCTCAGTTTGTTGGGCATCTGACTTTGGCCTTAGGTCACCATCTCATGGTGCCTGGGTTCGAGCCCCATGTCAGGCTCTGTGCTGACAGTGCTGAGCCTGCTTTGGATTCTCTCTCCTTCTCTCCATGCCCCTCCTCGACTCATACTTTCTCTCTCTCTCTCTCTCAAAATAAATAAATAAACTTACAAAATACTGTTTGTCTTTTGATAGGGACTGTATTCTGTATTGACTCTTTAGGTTACTTTGGGTAGTATGGACATTTTAATGATATTAATTCTTCCAAAGGGTGGACATTGAATATATTTCCATTTGTTTGTGTTGTCTTCAGTTTCTTTCATCAATGTCTTACAGTTCTCAGAGTAGAAGTCTTTCACCTATTTGGTTAAATTTATTCCTAGATATTTTGTTCTTTTTGATGCAATTATAATCTGCTACTTCATTATTAGCGTATGGAAATGCAAGAGGTTTCAGTATTTTAATTTTGTCTTCTGCAACTTTACTGAGTTTGTTAGTGTTAATAGTTTTTGGTAGAATCTTTACGGTTTTCTATATATAGTGTCATACAAGCTGCAAATAGTGACAGTTTTACTTCTTCCTTAACCAGTTTGGATTCCTTTTATTTCCTTGTATGTCTGATTATCATGCGAGGACTTCCACTCTGTTGAATCAAAGTGGTGAGAGTGGACATCTTGTCTTCTTCCTGATCTTAGAGGAAAAGTTTTCATAGTCTTACCATTTTTAATTGTTTTCTTTGTCTCTTTCAACAGAGTCTCATAATTTTACACAAGTAGATCCTCTATGTCTTTCGCTAGATGTATCCCTTTCTATGAATGACTTTTGTTCGTATTATAGTTTCTTTATAAAAAATAAACGTTTTGATTGAGGTTGATGTATAGATACATAAAGTCAATTTTTATGCTGTCATTCAAACTATCTTGTTTAAACTATTGCTAAACTACATCATTTAAACAAATTATCTGTAGGTTATTTTGGGTTTTCTGTGAAGATAGTAACCGTTGAGAATAACAGTTTCTCTTTCTTCATTACATTGACTATAGCCTATAATATAGTGTTGAATAAAAACTATAATAATAGGCATCTTTGTTTTTTTCTTGATTTTAAAGGGAATTCCCACTTGTTCCTCTTAGGAACGAGCTCTCTCTATGAATATACTTTTCTGATTTGGGATGCTCCCTTCCATACCAAATTTACTGGTAGTTTTTATAGTGCTTGTGTATTAAATTTTATCAAACACTGCTTTCTGCATGTATTATTCTTGTTTATGTATTTCTAAATTTTTTAAAAAAATTATTTATTATCGAGAGACAGAAAGACACAGAGTGTGAGCAGGGGAGGGGCAGAGAGAAGGGGGAGACACAGAATCCGAAGAAGGCTCCAGGCTCTGAGCTGTCAGCACAGAGCCTGATGCAGGGCTCGGACCCACAAACCTCGAGATCATGACCTGAGCTGAAGTCAGATGCTTCACCGACTGAGCCACCCAGGCACCCCTCCTGTTTATGTATTTTTTAAAAATCTGTCAATATGGCACATGACATTTAAAGATTTTCTAATGTTAAACTACTCTTGCATTTCTAGAATAATGCAACCTAGTCATAATTTACAATCTTTTTTTTATATAATTGTAGATTTGATTTGCTAATATATTCTTTAGGATTTTTGAAGGTAGCTTCATTTATAGGTAAAATGGCCTGCAGTTTTCTTTTCTCAAACTATCTTTCTTTAGTGTTGGTGTCATGTTTTCTGGACTCTTCGCGTGAGCTGGGAAGAATCTTCCCCTTTTCTTCTCTGCTAGAATTCTTGTAACTATCTGAATCATCTGGGCTTAAGGTTCTTTTCTGGTGAGAATACTTCTAAACTCTGTTTCAGTTTCCTTATTAATTATAAGACTTCTCAGGATTTCTGTTTTGTTTGTTTTGTTTTATTTGAGTCAGTTTTATTGAATTAATGTTTTTGTTAATAAATTTTCAAATTTTTCAAATTTATCGAATAAGTTGATAATAAATAAAAATTCTGTTCTCGTATTTTTATTTTCTTCACAAGAAGGGATTATGTCCCCATTTTTACTTGTACTACTTTTTATGCCCTTTTTTATGGGACTCTAGAGGATTTTCTGTTTTTGAGTCTTTTCAAAAACCAGTATTTCAATTTGTGGCAATCTTTTGTCTTTTTCTGGTTACTTTTAAGATGTTCTTTTGTCTTTACTGATCTAAAGTTTCACTGAAATGTGATTAGGTCTGGATTCATTTCTAAATTTATATTGCTTAAAAATTGCACTATCTTTTCAATCTAAAGACTTATGAATTTCTTCAGTTTTGGAAAACTATCATCTTGATCTCTTTGAATATACCTTCTTAACCATTCCCTGAAATATCTTTTGGAATTCATGTTGGACATATTTTAGAATCTTTTGATTTATTTCCCTTGCTTCCTAACCACTCATATTTTGTATCACTTTATCTTCTTTGTTAGGTTCTTGTTTAGTTCTTCAGTAATGTTGTATTTATGCTTTATAGAATGAGTTATTTCCATCCAGCTTTAAGGATTAATTGATTCTTAAAAAAAATTTTTTTAATGCTTATTTATTTTCGAGAAAGAGAGAGAGACAGAGTGAGCAGGGGAGGGGCAGAGAGAGGGGGAGACCCAGAATCTGAAGCAGGCTCCAGGCTCTGAGCTATCAGCACAGAGCTTGATGCGGGTCTCGAATTCATGAATTGGTAGATCATGACCTGAGCTGAAGTCAGATGACTAACCCACTGAGCCACCCAGGCGCCCCAGGATTAATTGATTTTTAATTTTCAGATCATTCTTTTTCATGTCTATCCGTTCTTGTTTTACTTCTTTGTTTCAGATCTCTTGTTCCGATCAACATTGGTTTCATTTCTTCCTCAGAGGATTATAAATATTCTTGTTTTAAAGTCTTCTTTGGACACTGTTCATTTTCATTTTATTTGGAGAGAATCCATGTGCTGACAATCAGTTTTCTAGCTTTTCATACCTTTGGACTTTATATTGCCCATTTCCCTTATATGGTGGTCTCTCCCTTCCACTCAATATTGTGCTTGGGTTTCCTCCACCCTGCACTTTCGAGGCTCCCAATCCCAAGCCAGGGCTGGCCGTGTGGATGCCTTCTAGAGGGTTAGTGTCCTGTTTGGCTCAGGTCATGAGGCTGCATTTTTATACAATTGCCTCTTTAGGCTCGAGTTCTACATGAGCCATAGCCACCATTAGCAGCTTTTCTCAGCCTCGTTTTCATGGTCACGAGCCAGAAATGTCTGGATCTGACGTGTAACCAGGGTCAAGTTGGCTTCCCCTTCCCACAATGACATTTAGTGTGTGGGTCCCACATAAGTACGCACTGATATTTCAAAGACTCTGTGAGGCCACAAGCTCTTCTTTAGAAAGAGTGGTCCCTTCTGAGCCATGGCTTCAGGGATTCCCTTTCTCGGGACCTCTGATTCAGATGTTTAACGTGAAAACAGCACATCCACTGTGCTAGCTGGAGGGGCTACTTTTTAATCTAACTCTGCTTTTTACTGGGTTTGTAGCCCTTGGGAAGGATTTGGTACGTTGCACCTTTGTTTTCTAATCTGGAACCTCATAGGACAGTTAGGAAAATTAAACCGCGTATCATCCACAAGAGCACTTTATAAAAGTCGTAAAGATGGAAATGTTTATCTGTATGTCTCACGTATATTGGAAACGTTGGAAATCCATCCAACTCAAAATACCCGTCTGTGAGAGTTGAGTTTGATTTCAGGAAGCCATCCTTTGATATATTCATTCAACCGATATTTACTAAGCAGCTGCTGCATACCAGGCCCTGAGCTAGGTACACTGAGGCAATAGGGCCCAATGGCGTTAGATCTCCCATATGCTTTCATTTTCTTCTGATGGCAAGAGCTCTCGTTGGTCCAAATATACCACTGTAATGTTAAGAACAGGCAGAAACAGATTCCGAGGAAAATGGGGAAGCTTCCACAGAGACCAAGAACTCTTAATCACTTTGACACATCTGCTCTTTACTCTGGTGTTTTCTTGGTTTAAATGATGACGTGCCTAGATAACTGGACCAAATCAACGGATTAGATATTTTAAAATGTTTGTTTTCACAAAAAATAACTATTTGGCAAGGCCTGACTTTGTATTTCTGAAAGCAAGTGCAAGCTTCTCTCTGTGTTTAGTGTTGATTGTCAGCCTATGCTGTGCTCCTCTCCTGGACTCTATTCTCTTGCAGGAGATAGACCCCTATAAGGAGGAAGGCGCTGGATCCTAGGTCTTTTCTCCATGGGTCCTTAACTCTGACCTTCACAGGACCACAGTTTGCACAAATAAAAGGAGCTGTAATTCAGGTAGCCCGGCCATCTCGTAGACACGCTGACTAAAGTATAATGTAGAAAACACAAGACATCAACTGAGCCAGGCATTTTATGGCTTTGATTTAATGCTTGCATATCATATAGGTAACTCTAAGGGTTGATGCTTAGTGTTACTGTTACCAAGGCTTGGAAAATCCCACCCACTGATAGTTCAGTCCCTGAACTGAGGAAAGCCATTCTTCCCTTAAGCATTCGACGATATTCTTGTAAGTGTATTATTTTCTTTTCCTTAGGCTTTCCCCTTCCAAATGTGCTTTTTTCCCTCCTTCTTTTCAGCCTTCATCTACCTCTTCCAGACTGTTTCTCACCGAGCAGTGCCTGTTTCCAACTAGGCTGCCTTTCCTTTGGGATGAAGCGGCCATAGGCAAATCTGAGCTGTGCCTGCCTGCTGGGCTTGCTGTGGGGATGGCAACCGGCAAGGACCGGGGGTAGGGTAAAGGCCAAAGGATGTGAGGGAGAATGAGCCTCTAGCTATCCTTGTCAGATGGTTTCTTCTGCCTGGCTGGCTTTGATTTTCCTCACCTCAGCCCCTTTGATGGGTTAGGCCAGGTCTCCTGAGCAGTCTTGACTGACAGCAGCCACTTCGTTCCCACCCTGGGACGCTGTTCTCGTGCTGAGCAGCCAAGGAAGGAAGCAGTTAAGTGAGGGTCCTTATTAGCAGTGTTCTAAGTTTAGCCCTCCAAAGGAAGCCTTTCAGACAGGCCAGCTTCCCCTTTTTGGTATGAAAGATAAATAGGTGTGCAGCAGAAAACACTGGTTTAATGCCCCAGGCTTATAGAATGATGGCATTTACTGAACATTTACTAAGTTGTAATCACTGTTCCAAACATTCTACATCTACTAATTTACTTAATTTTCATGACAATCCCAGGGTCTGGATTCTATGAAGGCCTTCATCTTGTGCATGGGGGAAGCCTACATGGTAAATCCTTGCCTCAACAGCTAGTAAATGGACACAGACCCAATCAGTTATGCAATATTTAAAACAAATGAAAATAAAAAAAGTCATTGTTTCTGTTGTCGATTGTTTCAACTCATTGGTGCTACTAGATTATTTCTTGAGAAAGTAGTATTCCCAATATCCCCCTTTTGTATAGAAAATAATCTTCTGAATGAATGAGAGGGTTTGTTAGTGCTAGAAAGAAAGGAAGAAAAAAATTAATGACAAATCTCAACACCCAGAAGTAAATTGCTACCTTCACTGGGGATTCCCAATAATTAACACTTTTTTTCTTCTTTATCAGCAAACCTTGAAGAAAAAATGGGTGGAGTTCAGATCTCTGCAGTTACAGGAACAGCGTCTGCTTCATGGTAAATGTGACTTCCTGTTCAGAAACCACACTAACATTCATCTTTTTTTTTGTATTTCTGCCTCTACGTTATTTTAAGATTATCATCGTTGTAAGAAAAAATTGTCTAGCACGGATCAGGAATGCTAGTGTATGTTTTTTGTCATGACTTTTGGAGTGACCTATGTATCTGGAGGGTAAGTCCAGTCACCTCCTCTCCTCCATACGTGTAACACATCGGCACATGAAAACACGCACATGCTCACATGCATGTGCACAATTGCAAGAGGCACGTGGAGATTTTAGAAGAGCCATAGATGAGTTAAATTCCTGACAATGTTTATGGCTCGGGGGTTGTGTGAGTCTCAGAAACTATGGAAGCTGGAATGGTAGCACGCTTCTTGGGTAGAGCTCCTGTCATTTGTTCATATTATTCAAGTTACATGAGTGCAGAGAATCTCTTCTTCTTGGCCCATAAACCCAAGACAGAAATCGGAATGATCATCCCAATAGTCAATGCATGGCTCTCGCAGTTGTGTGAATTCTGAAGGGAATGGGTTGATTGAAAATTTGTTGATGCGACATTTGCTATGTGACTCCTGTAACCCGAGGAATGAACTTGTACATACAAATAATTCACTGAAACCACTAGGTATGTGGGTGTGAAACATAGGTTATATCTTCTTAAGATAACACTGAGCTAAAGTCTCCATTTATAACCCAGAATGTCTGTTTCAAGTCATAACTTATTTATGGGAAAAAAGACATTTAATTCATAATTAGTCACTAATGTATGACATAGAGGTTTGTGTTAAAATTTTGTTCTCTTAAATGAAATTTATATATAAGTTACTTCTCTTTTGTATGTTTTAAAATTAATATTAAAACAATTCTTAATAGATTCTTTTGGGGGGGGTCTGAAGTGTCCTAGCAGGACAGAGGTATAAAAATCCAGCTACCTCCTGGATTTCTGTAGACTTGAGGGTGTTTAGGAAACTTTTGCCTCCGCTTCTGGAGCATTCTGCGGTGGAGATGGGGTTTGGTCTAATAAGTACAGGCAGTTCTGGGGTTCTATAGGAACAGGCTTGTACGGACAAGGTGTTTCGTTCAGGATTAAGGGAAACGACTCCGCGTAAAGCGACTTTTGTACATGTTCTTTTTGAGAGTTTGAAGGACTTCTTTAGTTTACTTTTTCTAGGCCTAGAATAAATACACAAGGCATGAGATTCTCAAAGCTTTCCAATCAAAAAGAATTCATCAACTCGTTGACAGATGATGTAAAGTAGGTTTTATTAGTAAAAAGGAAAGCGTTATGACTAGTCAGTGCAGAGCTCACATATTGAACCTTGCAGATCAAATAGAAAAATAAAGTCGCTTCTATTTCTTTTCCTGAAGCAGAGTCACCTTCTAATTATGTCATTCTCAGGCTGGTATAACAATTAATCCCCTTTCTTTCAGCAGCATACCAACCAACTCAGGTAGTACATAAGCAAGTGGGGTATGGACAGGATGGATGTTGGTGTGCAATTAAAATTCGAGTTTGGAGAGCCCAGATACAGAGAAAGTTGATGAACAAATTTAACTAAGCCAATCAAATTCAACTTGTACAAATGAATTGTTACTTATTTCAGGACAGGGATGTTTTCTGGGCACACTAGCATTCCAGAGCATTTAAGTGTTAAAGTAGTCTGGGAAAAAACAAGGAATATTGAGGCTGGAAGGTATTTTTTTCTGTTTTAAACACCTTTTGAATTCTCTATAATCCGCCTATAGGCTCAGGTTATATAACTGTGTTTCCCATATACTTCAACTTATGTTACAGTAATTATATAATTATTTAAAAAATACAGTACCTTGGGGCATCTGGGTGGCTCAGTCAGTTGGGCATCCGACGTCGTCTCTGGTCATGATCTCACAGTCCGTGAGTTCGAGCTCCATGTCAGGCTCTGTGCTGACAGCTCAGAGCCTGGAGCCTGCTTCGGATTCTGTGTATCCTTCTCTCTTTGCCCCTCCCCTGCTCATGATCTGTCTCTCTCTGTCTCAAAAATAAATAAAAACATTAAAAAAATAAGCAAAAATACAGTAACTAAAAATCAGAGGAACTAAATGGAGGAAGTCCATAAGACAGCATTTCCCCAAGTATATTCTTTATTTTTTCCCCAAAGATATTCTTTAGAACCCCATTTCTATGAGAATTTTAATGAATGTTGCAGAGTCACTTCAGTTTAAGAAATAATACTCTTGGGGGTGCCTGGGTGACTCAGTCGGTTGAGCATCTGACTTCGGCTCAGGTCATGATCTCACAGTTTGTGAGTCAAGCCCCATGTTGGGCTCTGTGCTGACAGCTCAGAGCCTAGAGCCTGCTTTGGATTCTGTCTACCTGTCTCTCTGGCCCTCCCCTGTTTGTGCTCTGTCTCTCCCTCTCCCCAAAATAAAACAAATTAAAACATTAAAACAAAAATAAAACATTAAAAATTAAAAAAAATGAAATTATATTCTTGGAGATTGACCATTCACCCTGGCATACTGTCAGATGAGTTGAACTGTTCTTATACGAAGAATCTTGTTTAAATTTATTTCATTTAGCATTACCGTTTCTGTGACCGTGGAACACTGTTACATGGAAGCTAGTCCACGAACAATAGTTTGGGAAACACCCCTACAAGGTTTATCAAATGGCCTCAAAATAAGTCACTTGTTCATATAGGCGAAACTCAGTGAAAAATATTATTCACTTTTACTCTTTCTTTTTTGCACCCTTTGAAGAGAAGTTTTGTGTATTTACTCGGAGGGAGTGATGCTCATAGGCATTCCACAGTAGACTCTCTTTTCTGCATTCTAGGTGACTCAGGTAACTGCTCGAGTTTGGAGAACATGGACATAGATGATTCAGTTTTGTTTGGAACCCTGCCTGGGCCCAGCCCTGCCCTCCTGGACCGGAATCGATTATCCAGCGAGAGTAGCTGTCTGAGCTCCATGACGATGGACAGCGAAGATGGCTACCAGACGTGTGTGTCTGAGGACTCAAGCAGGGGAGCCTTCAGTCGACAGACGAGCACAGATGATGAGTGCTTTGTCCCCAGGGATGGGGACGATTTTCTGAAGAGGTCTTCTTCGAGGAGGAACCGAAGCATTAGTACTGCCAGTAGTGGGTCCATGTCCCCCTTGTGGGAGGGCAACTTGTCAAACATATTTGGGACCCTGCCCCGGAAAAGCAGAAGGGGAAGTGTCCGGAAACAACTCTTAAAATTCATCCCCGGCCTTCACCGTGCAGTAGAAGAGGAAGAGAGTCGCTTCTGATGGGCTGTCTTGCCCTTTTGTATTAGCTTATTTCGTAAATATCTCTAGACTTGTTTTAGAACAACTCCACCCGGCCTGGTGGGAAACTGTGGAGGGATTGCAAAACTGAAACCCCATTTCATGGCAATAGTGACCTTTATTTAAATTTTTGTGTTATGATTTTTGCTTCTTAGGTCGTTTTGTAGCCGGGAAAGCTCTGTTTATAACCAGAAGGTAGGGGAATTAAGTCATAAGTTAGATACTATAACAAATTAATGCACATTCCTGCTCATTTTAATGCTGCCTGTGAAGGCAAGGGTTATATTTATTTTCTGGATTATCTATGTGAAAAACTGAGAACTTTTCAGAGTCAAGTGTAAATAAAAGAGTGACGGAATATAATTATTTGGGATACCTTCCGTAGGTTCATTGGTAGGTCACGGAACCATATGTTTGCTTAAGATCAGGAGCCTCCAGGGAGGCTTAATAATAGGCAATTTTGAACATTTTCTGCTTAAATCTGTGAAGGATTATAAATAAAGATGATAGTCAGCTATGTTTCACAAACACAGCAACAATAAAGCAGGAGGCATATAAGTTAATATTAGGGTTTAGATCCATGAGATCCATGGAAACATGTTGTCTAATAGGGGTGCTGAGGAAGATTATGATACGGCCTTTTTTATAGTCAGCCTAAACAAAATAGGTGAGAATGTCACTTACGCAATTCAACTTTTGTTCTGCCTAAACTTTGATGGCAAGTCTAGAATTCTCAAGATCCTGCATACAACTTTGCAATCTTTGTTTTTGAGCAAATGTCTGAAATTTGAAAAATTAAAGCCAGGAAAAGGATTTTTCTCCTGTAGAGTTTTTCGCATTATTCCTCACTTTATATTATAGATTCCACAGTTACTGCCTTAGCATTCTTTTGCGTGTTGGTCATGTTAGTATCACATTACTTCTAGCCTTTCAATCACATTTTCATTCAGTATCCATTTGAAGTCCATGGTTACTCTCTTCTGGTGATACAGCTGCTCATGACCTATATTCTAGAGTAGACAGTGTAATAAATAGTCCTTACTGATTTAAAGCTGTGTGTGTGTGTGTGTGTGTGTGTGTGTATGTGTGTTTGGGAGAAAGATGTTTGATAGGTGACTTTGAGTGGAACCACACTTAAATCAAAAGAATGAGTCATTTTGAGAAAGAAAAAAAAAAAGGAAGCGTGAGGAAGCCTGTAGGGTAATAAATGAATGTTAAAAAATAAAATGTAAAAAGATTTCTAATTGGAACCTGCTTTCCATTAATTATTTGAACTTAGAATTATCCAGTCGGCTCTGCTTGAGAATCATTCATATGAAAAGCAGTTTGTAGTATTTCACAGGAACAGTTACAATCCTGTGTACCACTTACTGAATACCTAGCAGGTTAAAGATGCTTTCCATGTGATCCGACCCTGTTAGATAGGTGTTAGGCCTACAGAAAGGAGGAGGAATTCAGAGAAGTTCCCATGGCCAAGGGCGAGGCTTACATCGAAAGCCATTTCTTTCTGGCTCTGGCCTGTCTTCAGTCTTTCGAGATATTGTTTACTCTTTTGCTGGTTCTGTGTGGTCATCACCACAGAACTTCCCCCCACCCCCACTCCTCAGAGAATACATAAAGCACACCCCTCAGAGACTCTGCATGGGTAAAAATTGTCTTTGGTAAAAAAGAAAACAAACACATTTAGAATAACTCTTTCTCTTGGCCTCCACAGGCTAGTTTTCAAACATGGGCACATTAATAGCTACGTGGTTAACAATACATTTATTTTCAGCAAGGGCTTGCAAACCAGTTGTGATGGCCTGACACTGTTTATTTCCCATCATAGATTAGAATGATCATCTGCAGTGTATTTTGTTAACCTTATTTTGCCAAATCCGGGGGAAAGAAATCATCATGTTTATTTGAGGAAAGATGGCTTTAAATTCTTCTACAACGTGATCAGTGTTTTAAGAACTTCCACAGATCATCTGGGAAAGCAGGTTATAGGTTATTTGCTTTTCTTCTGGCTTTACGTGTTAAATACAGTATAATGCTTCTTCCTTACAGTAATCGTCAAATCTAAAAAAGTTCAGGGAAGGGACAGAGCGAATTTTACTATAGTCTGAGGTAAGAAGAATTAGAGTCAAGAGTTTGATATGTTCTGGAAAGAAAGAAAAGCACGTTTTAACCAAAGTACAGGAAGGAAGGGTATCTCATGTTTTGTGTGTTCACAAGTTGTAAGGAAACTAGCTGTTCAGTGGAAATGTGGGTAAATTTCTCACAGCAGAGCTTTTCAGACTTGTGACCTCAGTGGGGCTCTAGAAGACTTCATTTCTCTAATCTTTTGGAGCACAATGACTCACTTTGATGTAATTTTTGAGAAAATAATTGAAAAGCTAAGTGCTTTGTTTTTTGCTTATCCCAAAGTTGTCAAATATGCGATATTGGTGGATTTCACTAATTGATAACTGGTTGTGAAAATGCATTTTTTGTCGCATGGCAGGCATCGAGAAGCCAAGTTTGAATGAAGCATTTTGAGAATTATTCTGTCATGTGGCTAAAGGAACACCAGCTTTGTGGTGTCAGAAACGTGGGTACTCTGTTTTTTTGAAATGAGCTTTTCTTCATCACTTTCTACTTTGTAGTGTTTTTATATCTTAGTTGCATGTACAAATAGTATTAAAAATCCTAGTTTGAACTGAAGAAATCAAACTTGGGTATAATTTGTGTGTACTGATCATACAGTATATTTATGGATGTATACAACTTAAGTATAGTAAATACTACATAACAACTATATCCAACCCTTCAGTTTACAAGGTTATTGGTACTTTGTATCTATTTCCTTACAGAATATGGGCAATAAAAAAGTTAATACCTTTCTGGAATAAAGAATGCTATTCTTCAGTGTCAGAAGTCTCTTCCCTCCCTTTCTCTCCCCCCCTTCTCTCTATCTCTATCTCTTTACCTATTCACCTTACATGAAATGATTATTTTAAAAGCAGATTTTTAAGAGATCTGGGATGACCTCTTGATACCTAATTTTTTGACATTTTTATTTTTTATTTTGTAAAAAAATTTTTTTAACATCTATTTATTGTTGAGAGACAGAGACAGAGCATCAGCAGGGGAAGGGCAGAGAGAGAAGGAGACATAGACTTGGAAGCAGGCTCCAGGCTCTGAGCTGTCAGCACAGAGCCTGACGTTGGGGCTCGAACCCATAAATCGCGACATCATGACCTGAGCCAAAATTAGACCCTTAACTGACTGAGCCACCCAGGTGCCCCTGACATTTTTAAAAGGCATTACCTACTTAATTGAGGCTGCACCCTTCTATCAGCTTTTTGATGTTTAACACATTACTACATACTTAGAGGTTTAAAACACATTTATCAGCTCAAAATTTGTGTGGGTCAGGTGTCTGGGCAAATATTAGCTGGGTTTGCTCATGGACTCATGAGGCTGCAATCAAGGTGTCATCTGGGATGACTTCTTACCTGGAGTTCTGACTGGGAAAAGAAACACTACTAAGCTCCCTCAGGTTGCTGTCAGAATCATTTCTTTGTGCCATAGATAGGATTCACGGAAGCTCGCTCACCAAAAGCCAGCAATGGAAAGAGAGACCGCAAGCAAGGCAGCCTTACATAATGCAATGTAACCATACAGGTGACATCATCTTTGCCACATCTCAGGACATGCTGCACAAGTGACATCTGACCAACTGTGCCATATTATGTTAGACGTAAGTCATGGGATCCATCCAAGCTCAAAGAGCAGGGATTGCGCAAGGCGTGAATATCAGGAGGTGGGGATCAAGGAGGTGCTTTAGGATTTGTTCACAACATCATTCAAGGAGTTCACAAACTTGATAATACAGTGAGTCTTTTCTAAACTTCTTTGAGTAAATATAAATGGAGAATGTTAACAATTTTTAATACAGAAGTAGTAAGATTAAAGAGTTCTGAAATTAAAGAACCTGGCCAAGATTGTATAACTAAGCAAAAAAGCTGAAGAGGAAACTGAATTCAGGTCCATTACTGACCTCCCAACATTGTTCCTCAGGTGCATGAAATATTAGGAAACTTCAAAGAATATTAAAGTGTGAACTAGCTACTTCTTTAAAATTCTTCTCAGGGAATTTGAGTGTATTGAAGTGAATTCAGTGATTGACACGATGAAATTTGTCACTTCTATGTGGGTACATCTTTATGAGCATAGGTCAGGAATGCACAGAAAAACAAAATAAAATTCTCATAATCAAAACTACAAAGCACAGAAGGAAATGATTAACCATGAGCAAAAGTCAGGAGATGCCACAAATAGCAGAATCATCAGAATTTGAGAAAATAAAGCAGTTTGAAAGAAAATAAGACTTATATTTCTTAGGAATAGAAGAGAAGTCCCTTATTAAAGAATATATGCAAATATCATAATGGTGAGAAACTGTCTATTTCCTCACTAAGATCAAGTACAAACTCAGGATGTCCTGTCATCACTTTTATTCACCATTGTGCTAAAAGTTTTAGCTAGTGTACTAAGACAAGAAAGGAAACAAAAAGTATATACAAACTGAGAACAAGAAATTAAACTTTGCAGATGACACGATTATGTAGCAATTCAGGAAGAATCAACAACAACAAAAATCCTGGAAGTAATAAGTGAGTACAGAAAGTTCACAGAATACAAATTACTACACAAAAGCCAGTTGATTTCTTATATACAAGCACTGAACAACTGGGGTTTGAAATGAAAACAAAAACAAAAACAAAAACATGACAGCAAAGCTTATAATAATACCCCAAAATGAAATACTTAAGTATAAACCTGAAAAAATATGTACTGTTACTATATGTGAAAAATTCAGTCTGAGAAAATCTAAATAAATAGAGAGTCTGTGTTCAAGGACTGGAAGATTTCGTCGTGTTAAGATGTGACTTCTTCCTAACTTAATCTATACATCTAGTGAAATCCTCATTGAGATTTCAGTAAGCTATTTCGTAGACCCTGACAAACTGATTGTAAAATTTCTATGGAGAGGCAAAAAACCTAGAATAGCCAAAGTGAAGAAAAAGGAGAAGAATGAAGAGAAGGAGGAGGAGGAGGGGAAAGTTGGAGGAATCACAATACTTAATTTCTTGACTTTCTGTAAGTCTACAATAGTAAGAAGCATGATATTGGCAAACGAATAGCATGTAAATCAACACAACAGAAGAGAGTACCCAGAAATAGACCTGTAACAATATAGCCACTGATCTTTGACAAAGAAGTAAAGGCAGTTAAATGGAAAAAGGATGGTGCTTTCAACAAATGGTTCTGGAACAACTGGACATCCATATGCAAGCCCTTACATATTTCACAAAAGTAACTTAAAATGAATTATAGGCCTATATATAAAACTTAAAAGTCTAAAACTTCTGGAAGATAACATTGGTTTGGTCATGAATTTTTAGGTAAAACAAAAGGATGATTCATGAAACCAAACAGCAATATACTGGACTTTATTAAAATTAAAAACTTCTGCTTTGGGAAAGATACTGTTGACAGAATAGAAAGAAAAAGCATAGACTGAGAGAAAATATTTGCAAAAAAACATATTAGAAGGGGACTTATATGCAACATACAAAAAGAACTTTTAAAGTTCAAAACTAAGAATCCAACCTAATTAAACCATGTTCGAAACATCTAAACAGACGCATCTCCAAAGATAATACGTAGACGGTAAATACATACATGAAAAGAATGCAGTATTATTTGTCATTTGGGATTTACAAATTCAAACAACAATGAAGTACTACTACATGGCTACAGGATAACTAAAATCTAAACAACTGGCCATGCCAATTGACATCAAGGATGTAGTGCTACAGAAAAGCTCTTGCATTGCTGGTAGGAATGCAAAATAGCACAGTCACTTTGGAAGACAGTTTGGCTTTTTTTTTCCCCATGAAGCTAAAGATAGCTTTACCATATGGTTCAGCAATTGTGCTCCTAGGTATTAACCCGACTGATTGAAAACTTATGTTCACACAAAACCCACACACAGATGTTTGTAACAGCTCTATTCGTAATCACTGAAACTTGGAAGCAACTTGAATGTCCTTTGATAGGTTAGTGGATAAACTGTGGTATATCCATATAATGGAATATTATTCAGGTATAAAAAATGAGCTATCGAGACAGGAAAAGACCTGATAAGTCCTAAATGCCTGTTGCTAAGTTAAAGAAGCTAATCTGAAAGGGCTATTATAAGATTCCATTTACGTGAAATTACGTGAAATAAATCAGTGGTTTCCAGAGGTCTAGGGTAGGATGGAGGGATGTGTACGTGGAGAAAGTTGAATAGATGGAGCCCTGGTGAGTTTTATAGATCTAAGTCTACTTGGTCTACTGAAACAAAATACTGCTATGGAAACAAAATACTGCAGGTGGAGAAGCTTAGACAACAGAAATTTATTTTCTCACAGTTCTGGTGACTGACTGCTCAGGAGCAGAGCCTTGTGGGTAGAAATGGCCATTTGAGGACAAAGCAGCCATCTGCAAACCAGGAAGAGAGCTCTCCCCAGAAACCAAACCCTGTGGAACCTTAATGTTGGACTAGATCTGGACCCAGCATCCAGAACTGTGAGACAACTGTTGTTTAAGCCATCCAATCTGTGGAATTTTGTTATGTCAGCCCAAGCAGACCAAGACAAGTATGATAAAACTATTCTGCATGATATTGTGATTGTGGATACATGACACTATCTATTTGTCCAAACTCGTAGAACTTTACAGCACAAAAAATAACTTAATGTATGAGAATTAACAAAAACCCGTTTAAAACATTGGAGGATCCCAGGATTGAATGCAGAATGGGACAAGACACTCTGACTGTATTACTAATGTATGAAACAACCTACTTAAGAAACGATAAGGAAAAGGAGCCAACTTAAGTAACTTTGGGAATGATTAGTCTATAAAATTAAAGGTAAAAGAAACCATACATAAACATATCCCAGTTGAAAAAAAATTTTTTTTCTGATAGGGGTGGCTGTAAACCATTCTGATACTTCTGTACATGTATATTAGAGTTGAACTATTAATAAATGACTGGTTGATGATGAGAGCCTGGATTTTCTCTATTGGAGTGGGAGTTTACTGTAAGTAAGGGAAGAGACTAGGGTGGTCCATGTGGAAATGGGTTATAGATAGAGACATCAGTATGCACTCAGTATTATCTTAATACTGATACAGATGGTTACACAGAGAAATATTTATAGTTATATTATATACATGGGTTAATATACGCACACATATTAATTTGCTCTGTCAGCAGAGAAGGTATAGAAGGAATGAGATACCCTAGAATCAATGAGCAGACCTAGCACCAAGATCTTGGTTTCTAAATCCATTTCCAGTAAAAGAAGCCAAGATTCCTTGCAGAAATGACTGATTCTAGAACTGGGGCAGGAAGTGTACAAGAACCTGGAGTAGTTTGTAGTGCCAGAATGTAAAGTATTTAATATAAAAACAAAACCTCACTGTAATGGAGATATCAAAGGGAGACTGAAGCTTCCAATGGCCAAATGTGGAGGTGTGAGCAACAAATTAATTAAAAGAGTATTAGACTGTAGCCAAAGATATAAAATAAATATCCATGGGTGGGCCCATACTGATATAAATGGATGACTGAATAAAAATGAATGAAGGAAAGAGACCAATCTCCTGTGCAGAAAAATTCCACATAACTCATGTAGACATTCCACTCTCAAAGAGGTGGAGTATAGCACCTCATTCCTTAAACGTGGTTACTTCCTTCCAAAGAATACAGCATGGAAAGGGGAGAGAAAAGTATCTCTACAGCAGAGATACTTGACAACTACTTCAGTCAGGTGATCAAGATCAATATCAATAGTGACAGGTGACATTGA